ACACCAATATCACAAGGTCCCTTATTTTTTAAGTACTGTTTACCAAAGTGGCAAACCACTAAACCAACTATTTACAGCACAAAATTGTTAAATGGAAAAGGCCTTATTACTCTCCGTTATAGTTCTGCATGTAGTAGACTGGCTCTCATGCACTATGCCTAAAGAAAAAAAAATCTGTACTTTACCATTCCACAGTCTAAATGTTAATTTGCATTAAATATTTCAATTTCCATAAGTCTATAAACTGCATTCGGAAAATGCAGTCTTTATGTTGTCTTTAATAAATTTCATAAATGTGGTTTCATGCTAAGGTAGTTTGTTTTAACAGAGGCTCACTGAACAATTTACAGGATATTAAAAATATAAGTAATCTTTGCTAATTAGGTAGGGTCCTGACATTTCACATGTAATCAAGGACTCCCTGATTTCTAAAAGCCTGATGATGGGGGGTAGGACAGTTGTACCTCATATGTGCTCAGATATTTAATATTTGCAATTAGGGTTAATTTATCATTATTTGATCCTGTGTACTTTTCATTTTAAAAAGCCCTTTCTATTGTTAGTGCAGTGTTAGTGCATTTGTTAGAACTGGAGAATTTTCTAAGAAAAATGTAAAAACAGAATTTTTTTTACCATGCATTCCAACTCACCTAGAAAGCTGAAATGTAATGCACATATTGTCCAATAAATTGTGATTAAACAGATAGATTTGTACATCTCCAAATATAACAGTGGAAAATTGTTTCCAGTAAGGTCAAAGTCCATCCAGGCCACTCAGAAAGTTAAAGTGGGCAACACATACAACTAAAACCACATTTATTTTCAGGAAATATTTTTATATCTAGACTTTAAAACTTGTGGATATTACAGCAATAGGCAAGTTAAGTAATATTAAATTTGATTTTGGGAAGAAATGCCTTTTAGTATTTAGAACTAAATACTGTTTGAGGATGAAACTCCATAAAAAGCTAAACTTCCATTTCTATTATTACAGTACTTAAAAAGTGTCAAAGCAAACATCTATCACTTGGGTCATTTGGCACTCGTATGGTACTCAAGCTCCTCTGTTCTACTTTTCTGAAGGAGAATATAGATTTTCATAAAATATCTATATTCAGGATGGGTTGAATTCCCTCATTCTTTTGATTATGTCTTTTTAAGGCATTTAGAAAGTGACAGTCATCTACAATAGTTTAAAACAACCATCATAATGGTTGTTTTTGCTACTACAATAATCATTTTACATCCTTCCAACAATCATCACTGTGCTACATTTAATATTCAGGCAGGAAGCTTTCTTCCAGAACATCTAAAACCTTTCCTAGCAGGTTATTAGTCGTCAGTTTTGTTCAGGCAAGACACTTAAGCGTCTTTAATTAAAATTTTGAAGGTCTGCCAGGGCCAACCCTACCATTAGGGAGAGGAAGATGATTCCCTTAGGCAAGAAGTTGAAAAGGGAATAGCTGTTTGTCCTGAATTCTAAGCTATTCTCTATAATTCTTTGTAATATATGATCCGACTTAGGTCCCCTAAATCAGATATGAAAAAGATTGTCTAATTTACAGATAATTGGCAGAAGCATATGTGTCAGCCTTACCAGGTGGATCAGACAGGAAACACAACCAGATAAGCTAATTCTACTTTACTGTAAACCTACATCAACAGAATCTTGCAAGTCTGAAAGTACAATTCTCCAGCCATCTCCTTTACAGCCTGAGAAACTAAGGGGGAGGGGGTGTCTCTTGCCCTGCCACTATCCAGCTGCAGGCTATGCTGTTTCTTATCTGAGTGCTCTCTAGACGGCACCTCTTCGCCCCATCTCCCAAGGTCTTTCCCACATACCATTACAGTATGCTTGGATAAACTGGGCTGCCCCTATTGCTACTTCCTATTTTGTACCTACAAAGAGACAGGCAAAGATGCTGTCCTTCTGTACCCAGGGCAGGTCAAGTTAAGGAATGAGATTTCCCAAGTTTCATTTCTTTCCCACCCTCCAGCAGAAAACAGCCACGAATCACTCTCCCTAATGTGGGGTGGGGCAAGTCTAGACAGATGCTTAGAATGGCAGGTTTAGCCACCTGTTAAGTTGCCAGCATGGAGGGGTGCACAGGGTGAAATGGGAGAGAGCACCTTCAGTGCCTGTGTTTGGTGTAGCCCCTCCTCTACCAAGTTATCTCTGAACACGGATCTACCACTTCTGATAGAGCACTACACGCATGCTCCCAACTAGTCTGACAGATGAAAGACATGGAGAAGTAGTGTGAAGTAAAGGGAGAAGTAATAATAATGAATGAGCTCTACCTCTGACTAGTACTAGAAGAGAATGGCAGTGCTTGCAGAATGTAACCAAGGGGTCAGTTCTGACCTTGTGGCAGCACCCAAAAGTAGCAAGTAGGAAGCCACATATCACACACACACAAACAGTAAGAAGTATGGCCAAGTGAAATTGTTGTTTTGCAGAAGGAGCACGCAAACCTGTGATGAACCTAATGGAGACAGAACTAGCAGTACACACCTAGCAGAACCAAGTTTAAACTGACCTTATGTGTTTTACAAGCAGCACTAAACCCTTGTTTTAAAGAAAAGGCCTATCACTTTCTCAGAATAGCATAAAACCTATGTTTATAAAGAATGTACGCAAGACCTGAAAAACTATTTGAAAAGCTCCAGTTAGGCTTTATGCAAGCAGATCTCTCCTGGAAAGCAAGGATCTGGACTCTCCAGCACCCCAAGCCAAATGGCCAGGAAGGGCAGGTCCCAGAGTTCAAAAGGAAGGCGGCCGGGCCAGCAGCAGCCTACGGGGTCAAAGTGGGTAGATTCCAGTTCCTGACTGTGTCAGCAATCACTGCCAGTATAGCATGCCAGATCATATCCACCGCCAAAATTGTGTTGGGAAAAAAGGGAAAACATTATTTTAAAACTAGAACAGATCAAATATACCCTTACGTCACCTCAGCTATGAACCGAAGATGAGACAAAGGTAATGTCATGAGGACCTGGAAGAAAAATGCAATCACTGAGGCGTGCTTAGGAGAGAGTGAGGAAGAGACTTCAATTAAATTAACTACTTTATTTGGAATAGCGAGAATCCCATCTTTGCAGCAAAATACTTTGTATTGTCTCACTTTGTAATGGCCTAGAACAGTGTTGTCCAAACTTGGCCACTTTAAGATGAGTGGACTTCAACTCCCAGAAATCCCCACTTCTGGCTGGGGGATTCTTGGGGTTGTAGGGCACACCACTTTTTGTAGGCGAGGTTTGTTGACACATTT